TCAGTATTATACTATTATATGTAAGAAAAGATGAGTAACGACGACGTCTAAATATTGTTAATAAATACGTTGTTCCCAAAATCAGTAACTTTGAGGTGATTTGTTTTTCTCCTAAATAACAAGAAATTTAAGCTGTTTATAGTATGAAATTCAGTCATTGATACTTTGTCCACAGGGCTTATTACACTCGGTATGAAGTTCTCCTTATGCAATTGTTGTGGAGTGCCAGCACAAATTGCGAACTGACCACACAGGCATATAATTAGCGAGATTGATGAATGATGTAGAATCACAGGACAATATTTCCAATAATATAGACTTTTGATGTTCCCACAGAATTTCTCAGTGGTTATATTTTCAAGAACTGTATATATCATACTTATAGGAGAAGAGTTTTTTTCAGTACATTCCAGTTGAAAAGTGGACACTCAAGAAAGCCTGGCCCCTATACTTCCTTTCTCTAAATATTTGAGTTAGATGCTTTTTTTTTACACTAATATGTATATACACACACAATAATATGTTACGATCACGCGATCGCCGATATCTGTTATATTTGTAAGAAATTTCTGTAAAGCAAAGAGAAATAATCCTTGGCCAACTTATCTTGACAAAGCTATCTTCAGACTTTCTACTGACGTGTGTTCTAGCTTTAGCAGTTGTTTATAGATAATTTGAGGTTCTAAATGCGCTTCTTAATTATATTTTCTCATTTATATATGCTTTCCACTTTTCAGTATAATGCCACATTACAATAAAAGCTTACGTTTATGATCTGTGTAAGTAGTATAATGCAAAAAATATTGTTATTAGTCTACTATAGCTAGATTTACTGTAGAAATGGAAAGGAGATCACATTTATCACTACATGTTGTCTTTGTTAATATACAGAGGAGGTATGCATTTCGGTGATGGGTTTCATATTTGTAATTTTAGAATGGATGGTAAACAAAGTCGGCAACTGAAATATTATCACAGAAAAAAGGCAGCAGAAGGGAAACCTTCTTACAAAAAGAATCATTGGTGTGATCTCCTTTACATTCAAGACTTGCCTCTAAATATCATATAGACTAGTTTGAAACATTTATTAACCAATTCTTTGCTGTTGTTTGTTTAAATAATGAAGCGAGTGTGCTGACAAATGTCCATTATAAGTTTAAATTGCTGTAAACAAACGTTTCATGTGTTACGTATCGGAAACTTGAAACAATCCAAGGCCGCGTTAAATAATTTAACTTTTAATTGTTGAGACGTACCTTGAATTTAGGTTTAGAAATAAGCTGGTATTCTATTTAATTTACGCTAATCGCCAACAAGATTGGTTCACACCGTTTTTGGTTTTGACACAAATAAGCTTTAATATATATATATATACAACATTATAAACTACAATAACAGCCATTAATTATTACAAACAAAGGTTTATAGACAGAAATTTCAATAACTTATAAATCGTCTTTCTAGTTCAGAGTCTCCTTGATATCCAGCGAGGTATACCTACAATAGAATTTGGCGCGAAGCTAGCTAGCTTTGTCAGGCATTGAATTATTGGACCGTTGAAGTAAGATAATATTTTCACAAAATCACTAATGTCCGTTGAAAAATTAATAATATTCTTGGGAAGATATTAACGTCCGATGGGTACTAAAACGGTAAGCTATACACGCCCACAAATACAAATTTATTTCTAGAACCTTCTAATAAGACCGGATACGGAAATCGATGTATATTGTTGATTCTTTTTCACGAATGTTCTACAGTCTTGGAGAATTGGCGGGAATTTCGCCATACATAAGGTAAGCTATACACGCCCACAAATACAAATTTATTCGAAACAAACGTTTACATTAGAATAAATATATCATAAATTCGTTATACGCAACACATATCTGATAGTATAAGTTTCGCCTGTGTCTAAATACAAATTCAATCCAGACAACGTTCATATTAAAAATAAATATATAATAATAAATTCGTTACACATGGAATTAAAACTGTTGTTTTCAATAATTATTTTTAATGCACATTTTAAGTGTTTGGAATTCTTATAAAGTTAGGTGTTCTGAATTAGTTCGTTATACTAGAATTTGAAATAATTTTATTTTGTCAAATTTTGTGTAACTGAGTCTTCAATAAAGAATTATCTTACTTGATTACAATTTGTTTTATTTTTGCCTTTCTATTCTAGTTACAATATAATCTGGTAAAGGGTAACAAATGGGTAAATAAGGTCACCATTTTGATTCAACTCCAGAAAGGAGTTCACGATAATTAGGGGTCTATTTATAAAAACAGATAATTGGGGACACGGTGAGATGCGTTTACTCACAGATTTAGCTTTGTAATTTATCAGTCATTTAAACCTAAAACTACCACCATTCACACCATCTGAATATTAGTTACACAGTTAAAGAGATACACATACCTGTTATGTAATCTCACTTTCAAGGACTTCTCTTGCAGGAAAATGAGTTGATTTGTGACTCATACATTTCAAATCCACCCTACCCTGCTCATCTGCAAATGGTGGAAAGTAAATATGGCGGGAAAACTCATTATTCACTCCATATATTCCTCTCTGAAGCAACACTGAAGTCAATGAGAACACGTAAAGGAGTTTCATGCTCAGTGATTTTTATTGAAGAATGCAATTTACTCTTACCCTTTCAGTTATTGATAACAACAAATGTATTGGTTGTTGTGTATAACGACATAACAAAATGACATAATTTGAGTATCTACACTAGATATATGCGTAAAGGAGATCACGTGCTTAAAATACTAATTTTATTACAATCTCCAAATGAACATACCCAAAATATCTTTTAATAACCTGTGTTTGAGGTATGATCAAATCAAATTATATACTTCCTGGATTGATTTTAGACTCGAATATTTTTATTTATTCAACAAGTTGTAATTGTTGTCTTGAAAATAAACAACTGTAAAGAATAACACGTGATTACAGCGACATGTTATTTTGGATATTTTTATATGTGAAAAATAACAAATTTTCAAGGCATAAATGTTTACTAATTAATCACAATAAAGGCTTGAGATATTCTTACAACTTTTGTGTTTGTATTATTGGTTTGAAATTAAATTTTTCTGCTGGCGACATGCTACTTTTAACACCCCACCATTGTTGATTTCCTTGGTTAGCTGGAAAAACTTAACACAAACTCAACATATTATATATGTTTGGAAAGTTCTGTCCATAGTCTATCATTTATAAATCATTATATGTTTGTGTAAGGTACGTACACAGAGAAATATGCCCCAGAACACTGGCGACATCAAATTGGACACTTAACAAAGCCTGGCCCTTATACTCAATGGTTTGTTTCTTAACCTATATCTATGTAACACGATATTTATTGCATAACAAAAGGCGTTTACCCGAGACGTTACACAAAATAAAACTAAATAAAGTTTTTATTTAGACGTGTTGATTTATACTTTATTAGCCGATTTGTTTATACATTTTAAGCAACTCTTCTGAATTACAATTTCCAAAATCAATCTCTTCTAGATGCGCTACCAAAAATATGTTCTTTAGTATCGGTAACTAAATTGGCAACACGCTCTATAATGTCCTGTACTTTAGCAGATGACAAGGAAATTCTAGACCTAATCTTTTCTATTCCTCACTACAGATAACTTTACCAATACAACTAATGAGAGAGGCTATGTTAACCTCTTGATTACCTCGTTCCTCATTGCAAGCAGTCAAAGATTCAAATTTGTTAAAGACTGGTGTTTGAATTCTGAGATTCTCCTCCATCAAAGCATCCTTTACCTAGGTCTATTCAATTCCTCTCTTGCTTTCATGTTCTCTGCTTCTAATCTGCTCTTTTGACTTCTAACAGCGTATAAAATATATCTATAACTTATTATTAAATAAGCAAGCTCTTAACGTGTAGTGTATTATATTTTCTCAAGTAGCAATCAAGTTCACTATTCTCAAACATAACCTAATCCTGGCTCCTGTCGCATCCTATAAATTCCACCCCAATTATCACTGAGCTGCTTCTTGCCATATTGAAGCATACTAGTCTTTATTCTCGATTTCCCACTAATTATATTTTCAGCTAAAGTTAAGCTATTTCACAGTTTATAAATTAATTTAAATTAAACAATAAACTCCTTTATTAAATAATACTGATACTATTACTTACTAGTACCGCAGCTACGATGTACACTTCTAGTTACACGTAACCAATACCTAATTTAAATAGTTTAATAATGTATTTAATTCACAGCAGGTAATAAATAATAGAAATTATAGTTTCAACTCTTAAGATAAAACAATTCCATCTCATACTTAGCTAACGCTTATGACAATTCTCTATTTTGATTCTGATATATCACGAGTGCAGTTCGTGCGCACATGAGCGATAACGGAGTGAATTTTATCAATGCCTGTATTTCTCTTTAGCAATGACTAACGATTCCGTGAGGAATTTAGGAATTATTCAGTACGTTAAATGCTAATATTCACTGTAGCTTAGGTGAAAAAATGAAGTACAGAATACCTTTGCTAAGCCAGACGAAATCTGTTTCAGCAACTCCATTTGGGCTACACTATTACTTCTAACTAATTTGGACGAGCAACTCGAGTATAAAAAAAGAGTATAAAGTTTTTCAAACATAGATCGTCACTAGGCGCTACCTATATTATCAAATTATTTAATAATTTTAGTATCTCAAAATCTAGTACTACTATCTCAAAACATGAGTTAAACATAACGATTTAGAACTAAGTTTAATTGTATAATTTTACGCTTAATTGTATCTGAAAGTTAAAAAAGAACATATAAGTGTCCAATCCTAACTAAAATAACTACTCTAAACTTTATAGAACATAAAAATAATACTTATATTATCCAGAGAAAATGATAATTATCTGCAGCTGCAAGTCTCTTTAATTTCTCTGTTTCAGAACACAAAAAATACTAAACCCGTTGCTCTCAGTAGCTCCCTCTATTATCTGGGATAGAGTTTTTACCAGCACGCGATATTCTATAAAAAAAGTTTACGCTCATATCAGTAAAAAAGTGGTCCTGTGGGAGGTAAGAAGCTTTTTGTACTTGCTGTATATGTTATTTTCTAAGATTTTCCCCACACTTGTTGATTTTTAAGAAAAAAAAATTAATAGTTTATTAATATGAAAAATATATATATCTTTTACTTCTTAGTTTGCTTGACCTACTAAAATGAACATACAAACAAGTGAAACAAGTGTCGTCATTATTGGAGCTGGCATGGCTGGACTCTCTGCTGCTGAACACTTGACCCAAAACGGAATAACTAGCATGGTAGTGTTGGAGGCTGCCAATAGGTGGGACTATGCTCTTGGTGATTAAATATTCATTAGTCAGTTATATTGCCTTGGATAATTTTTATAGCATTTATGCCATAGCAAGAATAATTAATTGAAAGACATGTTGAATGTCTTTCACATATTTCAAGTATTGTACTTTAAATGAGTTGATATGCATAACCTTCTAAAATCAGTTAGATCAGGAGGCAAAATGATTCCTTTAGAATAACTAAATACCAACTTTTTTTATTCATTCTGTTGTCAAAAGTTATCAAACTTCTGTCGTCATTCCTAAATAAATTTATTTAATCGACCTGAAAGTAGTTGGACATTCTCATCCTCATTATTCTTGCATGAAAGTTTTAGGTTTGGAAAACCTCCTGAAAGATATATTTTAACTAATTTTCCGTTAACTATGCGTGTGTATATAAAAAAAAAATAATGATAATGAACGAAATTTAAGTTTGAAAAAGGTTCAACGTCAATATTTATAATTTATTATTTTTTTCCCAAAGGCGAGTAATCAGCCAAGAATGCAATAATATAAATATTAAGATATTATTGCTATCACTTTATTCTATACCCTACTCGTTAAACGCGTGACTCACCATACAAGTACAATGAAGTTATTGTTGGAAAGTGATGACTTTGTACAGTTTTTTTTTTTACAGTATTAATCAACCGTGTAAAGTTGACTCTTTATTTTACATAAGATATAATTTCATTTTTAAACATAGATATATTATCTTTACTCATTCACCATGGTTTTTAGTTCATCTTATATACAGGTGTGTGTGTATATATACATTACATTTTAGGTATGGAGGGAGAATTCATACAGTTTACTTTGGAGGGCAGAAGTCGCTAGTTGAACTTGGTGCTAACTGGATTCATGGCGGAAGTCTCGGAAATCCGGTCTTTAATTTAGCCGTTCAGCATGGTCTTCTTTCTGGAGACATTAAGTATACTGAGGAACACAACGGTCATTTTGTGACTTCATTTGGATCTATGGTTGAAAAAGAAATGAGTAAAAAAATGCATGGCATTTTCCAGGACTTGGAGAAGGAAATGACCTGTTTGGAAAAATATCCTAGTGATACAAGTATTCAAGAATTTATAAGTCAGCGCGAAGAGAGTATAGTGCAAACAATTAATTCTGACGAACGCCCTCTTGTACATTCAATGTTCAGTTATTTCAAAAATTATATTGAATTTTATGAAGGTGATTCTTTAGAAAGAATTTCTTTACGGAACGTAAGGGATTATAAAGTTTTCCCTGGGAGAAACGTCAAACTTCCTTTAGGATACATATCTCTTCTGGATGTTATAGTTAATTCTCTGCCTGAGGGTGTTTTGAAACTTAACCATGAAGTTTCTCGGATAAATTGGACTGGTCCAAAATGTAAGGTTTCTTGTCTGAATGGTAAAGTGTTTGAAGCAGATCATGTTATCTTGACTGTGCCATTGGGTGTTCTGAAAAAGAAATGCACTTCTATGTTTAACCCTTCTTTACCCCGTCAAAATCTTGAAGCAATCGAAAGAACAGGCTTTGGTCGAGTTGGTAAAATTTTCCTTGAATTCGAACGACCCTTTTGGAAAGTAGGAGACTTAAAATATCTGCATCTAGCTTGGGACAAGGCAGAATGGGAGAAGATGAAAATAGATCCTAACCAGTGGATAGCTTCAGTAAGTGGATTTGAAGAAGTTCTAAATAATCCCAAAGTTCTTCTTGGTTGGATCGCTGGTCCTCACAGTGAGTACGTGGAGAAAGTATCTGATGAGGAAATTATAGAGACCTGTACTACGTGTTTACGCCGATTCCTGAATGACCCAAGTATTCCAAGACCTGTAAGAATCCTCCGTTCAAAGTGGTGTTCCGATCCTCTTTTCGGTGGCTCGTACAGCTTCTTAACTCCAAACAATCTCCCAGGTGACATCGATATTCTAGCTACTCCTTTACCATCTGTTACCAATCTGCGACTGTTGTTTGCAGGTGAAGCTACTCACCCAAGCTATTTTTCAACAACTCACGGAGCAAGGCTCAGTGGACAACGGGAAGCTTCTCGTCTTGTAAGCAATGCCTAAAAAAGAAAATTGTAAACACTCTTTGTAAGACCGTTTTTCGACTAACGGTGTAGTTAGTAGATATGAAGTATAATGCCTTTCGTGTTTACTTAGTTTATTATTTTAATGTTCTTCTTCTATTTTATAAATGCAGCCACTTTTTTATTCAAAAATAAAAGGAATTATATACAAGTTATTGTCTCAGGTTATCGTACCATGGGTGGCATCGATGCTTAAAAACTGCTTATCATTAAAGCAAATACCTCTATTAGAAATTGAAAACAAAAAACTTGAAAACACCTAACACAGATGGCTAAACTTGACTTCACATTTTTAAAAATATAATAGTCATTTATAAGAGATGTTTCTTGAAATATTTGAACCACTACTATCTCACAACTTTGAAACTAAGCCATATTATACAAGTAACTTAAAAACTTTTCAAAAAAGAAAGTAAATACAGAGATATCGCTAATATCATTCCTTCTCAAAGAGTGCAAACAAGATGGTAGGGATGGCATTTGTATCATCCCTACATAATAATAGCACAGGCAAGAATTAACATATAATAATGTATATAAAACTATTCAATCACAATTGCGTTTAATTTCTACTATTTTTATTTTTTAATATTCTACTACTCTGTATGCCTGTGCTAATATGTATGGATGACACATTTGCCATCCCAACTATCTTGTTTGTATTTTTTGTGGAGGATTGATGTTAGCCATCCCTACATTTACTTCTTGTTTTTGAAAAGTTTTCTCTTTACCTGTTTTTTTAATACAGTGAGTGTTTCAATATACATAGAAAGATTGTATTTATAACCAAGTTCTAAATACAATGAGGTTCCAACTGTAATATTTATTGTTTATCTATTATTGGTTGGTAATTCCTGTTTCACCCTGTATTTAAGCTTTTTTAGGGAATACCTCATTTATATAAAAAAGCTAACTTCAAGGGGTAATGATACCATCGTTTACACTAGAATTATGATTTTTTTTAATTACTGCTAGTTATTAATAATACTTATAAAAGCGGATACTCCATTTGAGCCCATGTTACCTCAATGAAATTGGTTGTCACCATTGTTTTGATTTTTGAGTTATCATGTAATAAAAAGAAGTAGAAGAAAGAAGAAGAACAAAAAAGTCAAACTTTTGCTATGATATTTACAGAAACTCCCAGAATTTATGACTCAGTGATTACATGGATATTGTTATAAATGTATAATATTGTAGAGTTCAGATGATCTATTGAAGAGATATTTAAAATACCATTTCGATGAACAATCTGAGACATCCCTTCATAGGAAGTGCTACCACCTGCCTGATATATTATGTTATGGAAGACACGTAAAACAGTATAGAAAAATTTAAAACAGTACAGATCATGGCGGAACAAATTCATTAATAGGTGTCGGAAGGGAATTGTTATCACGAGATATGTGTGGTTTTGTGTGTTTTTTCATAACTGATTATTTAAATAAATTTCATTTTCAACAAATGTGAACAATGTGCTCATTCACTTAGCCCATGGATTATTACTTTAATTTTAAAAGGCTAAAAATTGTGGTCTTGTACTTTACTGTACGTTAACTATAGATAATGGATATAAATCTTAGAGTTATAATATAAAATTATTGCACATTAATTAAAGTTAACGGATATAAAGTTTAACTTTTGCTCATTTATTTCTATTTTTATATGTTTCAGAAATTTCATTGGTTTGTAGTCAAAGTTGTTCGACTTTTTTTTACCGCAGGCAGGGAAGAGGTATGGGTTAACATTCGTCTGGAGCAAATGTTAAAAATGAACACGAAATTTACTTGATATGTTTATTTTCCACCAAAATATCTTAATATAGATTTCTTTTAAAAGAACTTCAGATTTTAATGGAATATTAGGTGTTAGACGGTATACACATCTTATTCCTATTTTGGAAACAGTATCCAAAAGTCGTGTCCCCCTCCAAGTTTGGTTTGCAGCCCATATAGGGGATCCTACTATGTAAGATGGATCTACATTTCGTGAGGAAGATGCAATAGTTACGCCTCTCTATAAGTTGATTCACATTTCTGAAAGTAAAGAAAAACACCATCTCCCAAATGTTGGTTCACATCTGATAAAAAGTAATCCAAACGTCATCCCTTTAAGAGTGATTGACCACTCCAGTAGCTAATTCAAACTCCCCCAAGGGTAATTCACAGTTCGGTATCAATATTCAAAGTCTCACTCTTCCTCACACTTTGGATTCATACTTCGTTATCCCCTGTCTAAGATTGCATCACATCTCGTAAAGAAAACCCAAACATTACCCATCTCTGTTTATCTTGGGTTCACATATATAGAAATACGATCCGAATTTCATTTCTCTCCGAGGTAATTCCACACACCTTAAATTCGCTTGTGATTTTCTAAGATACCAGACTAACTTAACCAGTCTCCAATTGTTTTTCAAAGTCTTCTGTTTGTGATTCTCTCGAAAAATATTTTCATCCAGTTTATACAAGAAAACTGATGAATAGGCCGTCCACTTAGGTCTAGTTTTATGTAAGTATATATATATATATATATATATATATATATAC